ACCTTCTGCTGCGCGTCCCTGCCATCGCTGGGGTTTCTGTTTTATTTTCCTGGAGGGGAAAGGTTGGGGGGGGGGGACCAAAAACCAACATGGTCTCCCCGTGTCCTCTGTTCCCCTCTTCCCCCTTCCCCCTTCTGTCATCTCAGTAGGAATCGGCTTTTCCTTACTCTGCCCAGAGCTTTGTTTCTCCTCAGACTCTGACAAGACTCCAGGTAAGACCTAAACCTTCAGCTAAAAAGAAGCGGGCTCGGGGACGCTGGTATCCAGCAGAAAGTGGAGAATGTTGTTCGTAGCTGAGGGAGGGGTGAGGTTGTTTCTATGTCAGTGTTACTATGCTGGGGTACGTCTTGCTTTATGAAACGTATTTGAAGATGGAGCTGAAGGTGCAGGTAGTAAATCCATCCTTCTTCTGGTCTGAACCGAATATGGATTGCTTTGCTTAATTACTTCTGGCCACGTTATCAAAAGAGCAAAGATCAACCTCCAAAGGAGCGCAGAAAAGAGAGGAAAATCAGGTTTAAAGCTGTTGATTCTACTTGATACGTTTTGTCCCCAGATTGGAGATAGCAGTGTGCATGGAGAGCCTGGAAAAAAATATGGTTCCTGTGGAGAGGTGGCACTATGGTGTGTTTTTAAAAGTTTTATTGCCAGGGCATAATCTCAGTGCTGCTTTTCTCTTCAGCAAGGGCTTTTTTTCCTCGGAGCTTCTCTCCAGCATCTATACCGATTCACACTGCGACCCCCCCACCCTCCTCGCATTTCTACAAATGGCTCTGACGAGAGATGGAGAGAGATGGAGCTCGACAGCTGAGGCTATTTTCGGCCTTACAGCTCAATGGGGTGGAGTGGCTGTAATGACAATGACGTCCACTTGTTAAAATACAAGGGCTTAGGTCAGAGCCTCGCTGCTAATTGTCACCAAGGGAATTCTTTGTCCCTATGGGAGTTGTGATCCTGCAACTCCCTCGCGTAGGAAATCACACGTGCTGAAACCGGAGGCAGGGTTTCTAGATTAATGTAAGCGAGTTTGTTTTTCTGTTAATGCAAAGGATTTAAGAGTTGGGATTATTTGGTTCAGTGCTGGTTTTATTCGTGCAAAGGAGAGAAAGGTACATGCACTTACGCATGTGTGCATGCGGAGGGGAGACGTGCATTAGTGCAGCTGTGACATAATGCTGCCAACTTCAGGCATATACAAGTCTCGCCTTCTAAACCATGAGACCAATGAAGTAAAATAAACCCGTGTGAAGCCACTGTTTCTCTGAACCTTTAAAGCCCACCTGGCTCAAGCTGTCTGTCTTTGTCAGCCGAGCAGACACTGGGGTGTAGCTGCAGCTGGGATTCTGCCATAGCCACTTCTCTCCAGGGGCCGTGTGTAAAGCAAAACCCGGTTGGGTGAAATTTGTGATGAAATTGCTAGAATTTGCATCGCTCCTTTTCTGTCCCCAGGGTGGCAAACCCAGAATTTTTGTCTTTTCCCTCCATTTGTCTCCTGCCTTCTCACCCCCACGGAGCAGGAACGAGCATCGCTGTATGCCTGAGACCTCCCTTGCGCTGTAGCCTGTATTTAGACATTGTCAGAGCAGCCTGGGTGCCTCTAGGCTCAGAAGAATAAAAGGAAAAGATGCTGCCACAGAGTCTTGATTGCAGAGGGGCTGATCTGAGCAGTTTGAGTCCTTTGGAAGCTTCTGGGGTGGTTGTGTTGCTCCATCGAGGGGGGAATCCGAGGTGAAGCCCCTGTGCTGTAGCAAAGACCAAGTAGGAAGAAGAAGTCCCTTCTTTGCGTGGACCTTCTTGAAGCTATTGGTGTGTTGATGGAAAGTAACTGCTGGCCATATGGTAAAAAGAGGGATGAGCTTTATAAGCAATAGGTCTGTCTCTATATCAGAAAGGAAAGATAAGCATGTTCTTTAACCGTATAAATCATGTGAGTGGCTTCATTCTCCCATGGTTTACGTTAAGTGCATGCTTGCTTATGTGACTAGAAGGTGATCTGACTGTCTCGCCTGGTAGTTGTGCACAAACCATGCGATTTGTTCTTGTTTCTTGTTGGAATTTTCTAATGGTTTGTTTGACTCTTTTGTTTGCTACCAGTCATTGGAAATATTCGGGTTATTGATGAAGGATTAATACCGGGAGCACGAGGTGATGCAGGTCCCTTCCTAGACAGTTGGTGCATATTTAGCCCTACCCTGATGGTCAGAAATGGAAGATTGTTTTGCCTTGAGCGTAGCCATCTTTTTGCTGAGGGCTGCTCACCAAGTTTAACACCATGTTAGCCACTGACCCACTGCGAAATTTCCCTTAACGTCTCCCGTGGACTTTGGCTTCCTGTGGAGGCAATAGATGGCAGGGAATGCAAACGAGCCTTACTCTGAATTGCGTTAGAAGCTTATTGCAATAGGCTTAGTTTATTGCGGGTACACAGCGTCCTCTGCGTCCGACATCTCCTACAGCGCAGGAAGACCGATTCTCCAAACCACCACGGAAAGCTCTTCCATCTGCTCATCGAATGACCTTTGAACATGCCAAAATCTGTGGTCCCTCACTGAAGTGGAATTTAGAGTAGCCCAAGCTAAGCCCTGAGTCCAGCTCCTCAGTGACAGATACCATTCCTGCTCTGATGAAATGGGCATCAGATAAATTCTGCCATCTTGGATTAGTGCATCGGCACAAATCTCTGCTTACACCTGATTTAGAGACGTAATGGGCATGTAGCAGTGGGTGCGCTGGTGTGCATTTCACCCCTGGAGCGCCCTGTCTGGGGTAATGGCGTGTAGGAGTCCATCCGTGCCCACCTGATGTCACTAAGCTTGCAGCTGACACTGAATACTTGTGCTATTTCAAAGTTGTCCATTCCCTGGGAGGTTGTTAGAAGTAATAGGGCAGCTGGGTTACTGCTGTTTTCCCCCAGCAGAACTTTAAACATCAAAGGAAATCCGCACTTCCCATTTTATGACCCATCAACTTCCCTTCCCGCCCACCGATGCCGTTTCCTGTAGTATTACTACAGTAATACTAGCGCTGCCTTGATTTTTATCTAGAGCTTCTGTTTTAGTGGTATTTTTTGAAAGCTGGGCATCCAGGGGTGGGAGGCTCCCTATGAATCTTACCTTTCCCATCAGGAGAGGAAGGAGTGCAAGGCTTAGCAGCTGGCATTGTGGAGAAAGTCCGGGAAATATGAACTCTAACAGCAAGAAAAATACCCCAGATCAAGTTCGCTGCTTCGGCAAAGAAAGGGTAAAAGAGGATTGAGAAAATGAGCAAGCAGGCATGGGATGAGTCTTAACGTGGTGTCGGAGAGAACCTCCATGCTCCCGATCTGTATTCAGACTTCAGCAGTCTCTTTGGTTTAGGTGCCTGTCCTCACCTGGGCTTTACATCCTCGGGGTTTCTGATCACGCAGGTGTGCTACCTGTGGCTGCATTGCTCTTGGGAATATTTTACGAGATGGATTGCACGGTGCTGTTCGCTCTTTGCCCAGGGCCATGGTGGACGGGATTCCCTTTCTAACCATTGAATTGAAAGGCTTGGACAGAGAATAACCTGCCACCCCTGTCTTCTCTCACGCCAAAGTGCATCATCACAGGCTGCTGACTGCTCGGGGGCAGTATGCCACGATGTGGGACCTCTACCTGCTCAGAGGTTGTTGAAGGCTTTCCAGATGCAGCTCAACATTGGTGAAGCAACGTGAAACCAACCCATCAGCCAGCACAGCACAGTGGATCACAGGAGGTCAAGAGGGTGATGGCACCACCATCAGGACTCTCCATCAGGACTCTCCATCTCCTGATGATTCTCCTGATGAGCAGCACCTCTGACTACTCCAGCACGAACCGGAGCAGTCTGTGGTTGTTCCCACTGCAAGGGACTTGCTCGCTTGTCTGTGGGGAAGCAGGTGTAGGGCAGAGGCAGAAAGCAGTGAAGAGAGTGGGTAGGAGGCCTTGACTGGTTGCATGGCCGTGTCTTGCTTCCTGGGCAGTGATTTGATTTATTTGCATTATCTGACAGGTCTGTGCACTTGTGCCTCTTTCCCCCAAACATAAAACAGTGAAAATTTAAATGAATAAAGACGTAAGTAAAATTACAAGTGCCGCTACTTTGCCTTTGGCATGCTCAGAAATACCCAGATGGGAATGTGATCTCTGCTGCAAATGATTAATCACAGAGGGATTACAGGGAGAAATATGACACTGGTAAATGTCTGAGATTAATTGGAAAGGGCATCTGCGTTGACTACGTTTATTCATGCTTTGTTGTCAGTCCTATCGCTTCCAAGGGAGCTGTCCTGGCACTTGCAGAGGTCCTATTTTTTTTAAGTTTGAATGTACATGTAAAGAATCTGAACTAGTGTAATAGTTTACTAAATTGATTAGCAAGTTACACTGTAGAAATATTAAATCTTGTCCTTTCTGTATGTCCACAAAGCTATCCTCTCCCTCTTACTCCTAATCTATTCATCAGCCTAATCTAATGTGATGCATTTTATCCCGTTTAAACTTATAAAATGTAGTTTATCCAGTGCAGCCTGTTTAAACTGTTTGATCTGTCTGACTGACAGATACTTATTGCAGCTTTGTCCTTGCCACAAGTTAGGGTTTCATCCCTGTTACTGGATTTCATGCTCTCAACACCCATAAGGCAAGGTTTTTACCCCCTTTTTCAGACGGGGACTGAAGATACAAGAGTTTGAGCGACTTTCTCACAATTATAAAAGTAAGCCAGTGGCAGAGCAAAAAATAAACCCCGTTTCGCTTTCCTACCATGTTACAAATTAAAACAATACTGATGAGCACACGCTCTTTTCACTGATCCCTGGATTTTCTTCTGGCATCCTGGCCATTCATAATGGCATAAGAAGCGTTGAGTGTGAGGGTACGTGGTGAAAACCGGTAGAGAGTGAGGTGTGGTGTAGGTTACAGCACGGGACGTGGGGTCTTCACCTTGCACTAGGAGGTCTGTGGACACAGTGGCTTGTACCTGATGGAGAGAAGTCAGTTGCAAACACCGGGCGAGTGTTTGGGAGCAATGGGAGGGGGAGGCTGGACCTTGAGGCTACGGCCACTGGAAAGAAGCGTCTTGGATGGATTTGCTGCACCAGTCTGGTTCAGGAGCAAAAGCAACAGGCACCTGACGCGGCAGCTTCCCTGTGTTTTAACTGTTCTTGACTATCAGAGATACCAGTGAGCAGCTGGGGCTTGTTTGGGCACTG